TATCTATATCTATATCTATATCTATATCTATATCTATGTCTATGTCTATGTCTATGTCTATGTCTATATCTATATCTATATCTATATCTATATCTATATCTATATCTATATCTATATATATATATAATGTATATATATATATATATATATTTAACATACATACATACATACATGCATACATACATAGTTCTTTTCTAGTGTGGAGGCCCTCTGCAATGTTGGAGGACTTGTTAGCCTCGGGAAGCTGAGAGCGCACGTGCACGTGTGGCTTCGGTCTCTGACCCAGCGAAAGAGGAGGAGAGCGAATACTGTCTCACACCGACCTGGCAAAGACCTGTAGCAGGGGTGTTGGAAGAATGTTTCTCAAAGGGAAAGCTTAACAAGAACCGCCTGCCCAGAGCCTGAATGCAGGTCGAAGACAGCAGCCGTCAGCATCCATTGGATCAAGTTTACCGTCTCAAGATCGCTTCTCGATTGCATGCCCTGTGCCGAGACATGGCTTTCTATGTGTGATTTGAGGGTTGGGTTCTTGTGCTTTGCTTTCGTTTTGAATGCAGCAGCGTGACAGTCTTCTCGTGAGGTCGACTGGCCCGTGACATCGCTACGACCGAAAGCGCAGATACTGGGACACGGTTTGTTGGGATCCAGCTGGATCGGGAGGCTCGGAGAGTCCGACGCAACTCTAAGCCGAGGATTGTGGAATCTTTCCGGCAGCCGGGAAGCTTCCGGGATAGTCATGAGAGCACCTTGCACTTCTTCTGCAAGGACATGTAAGGGTTTGCTCGAATCGGCATCACATCGGGGGAGTGCAGCATGAGGAGCTGGAGCAGGCGCTGCCTGAGCAGGTGGCAACTCCGTCCCTTTCTGCCACGCGCGCAACATGCGATGGCAACACATGTTGCGTGTCCTGACAGCCTGCTGCGGCGCCACCACGGCCACTCCGAACGCAGGAGGCGAGTCTGGGTGAAGATGTTTGCATGATTTTGCATGAGGTTCGGAATGATGTGAAGTCGTATATATTCGCATGAGGCTTTGCAGTAGGTCGAGTGTACCTGTGAGGAGCGGCGGGACCTTTCCGATGTAGAAGTCTTCTCTATAGGCAGGGCAAACTCAAGGGGCCACGCTGAAGCTGAGTTGATTGATGCAGCTTTATCCTCGCCTGCATAGCTTCAGCACTGGTCATGTCCGCATTTTGACAGTTGGTGCTTCCGTAAAGCCAGCCGCTCCCTGAGACTCGGCCGGGACAGATCTGATAGACGATGCGCTGGAGTTCGACGAACAGCAGGGGGTGGCTCGGTGGACTTTACTTGCAAAGCTGGGTCGCATCGTTGAGACAAAAGCTGCTCATTCACTCGGCTTTAACAACCACAGAACATGTCTCAGAGGGTTTTAATTTATCATTTTGTTTGTGCCGATCTGCGCGATGGCCAGGTCGTTCGAGTGCACATAGCAGATGTGGCATCCTTTGTCAAGTCCGGAAGCACAGTGGACAGAGATGCAGCCTACATGGGCTGTGGCTAGGCATGATCTGACTCAGCGTTGCCATGTTCTCGCTCTTTGTTTGTGTTGCGCTTCCGAGAGCCGAGGCAGCATTTACCTCCGGAATCATTGTGACACTGTCCAGCGTCCCGGAAGCAACTGCCACCAGCACTGCATTCCTGGCACGCGGCGATAGCCCGGCCTGTAGGTATTGTCGCTCCATGCTGCCGCAGAACATCACGGAGGCTGCTAGTCTCGCAGAGGGGCAAAGGCGTCCAGCGTTGACCTTCGAGTTCAAGACGAGCCGAGGTCAGACCTGCAGATGGTTGTGTGCGATTGTACTGCTGTAATTGCCATCTTGCAGGCCGCACCGGCGACGTGACCTTTCAGCAGTTCTTCCGATCGACTATCCGACTTCGCGAATCAATGAGCTTCGAGGAGGCGGCAAGGGTCCTCGAAGACGTGTCGCCGCCATCAGCGGGACTCGCGGAGGGGTTGTGGCGAGGGGTCTTGACTGCTTGGCATTCAGATCGGAGTTTGGTGGTGGCTGATGCGACGCATGAGGAGTACGGCATGCTCTGCGGGCGCTCTGGGAGGTTACCAAGAAGGCAATGGCACAGCGCCTGCAGACGGACGAGGTGCCTGGCCAAAAAGCAAATTTTGGTCAGCTGCACTTGAAAGCCCTTGAGGCCTACGCATTGAGATGCCCTTGGCTTCAGGACACCGGCGAGGCTTAAGCTAACGAAACTGGCCTTCCACCTTCCACCTTTCAGCTCACCGTTGAGGCATCTGATGCTCGACGGCTGGTGGAGTTTTGGATGACGCAGGTCACTCTGCACATTTCCATTTTGTAACATCTTGCTTTCATTTGTCAGAACATGTAAACAAGCATACAGCATACCGCATCATACCGTTCATAAATGGGTTGGTAGATTGCAGATCACGGTTTCTCACTCAGGTGAACGAGTGCAGTGGTCGCCTGATTTCAGCCAGGCGCACGAAACTTGGACGCAGCTTCACAGATGACATGACTTTGACCGTGTTGGATTTCCGATGTGGAGCCAAGCGTTGCTCTGGAAGGGAGTCTTCAAATGTGGGATCTACGCTGAAGCCCGAGCAAACAGCCCAGAACCCTGTCAGATCTTAGGAGTGAGTTGCGGTGTCTCCACTGCTTTCCGTGCCCGGATGGAAATCACTTCTCCAGGCCCTGTTGCTAAGAGCTGTTTGATCAGGGAAACCCTGTTGCGAGCCGCCGCAGTCGCTACAGCCTTGTGGTTTGTCCAGATGGGTGCCGGCTCGGTTCGTGATGCAGGGAGTACAGAGCATCACAACGGCCTCGGCTGGACAAGACTCGTCCCGACAGACCTTAAAAGCAGAGTGCTAGAAGCAGCAGTTGCCAGGCTCTCCATGCTCTGCCGTGATGCCACTTTCCGAGCCCTGCAGAGAGAAGGCCATGCAGCTCGACGAAGTCCGCTCGGAGTCTGCCCGTCCTTGCGACCGCGAGGGTAGAAACTCGCTCCCAGGAAAGCCTGATCACCAAGCTTCACGAGTCTCCGAGCAGATGCCGCGAGAACATTGCCGGAGTCCTCAAACACGCACTGCGGCTTGCTGCATCCCAGTCTGGCGCTGTGAGCCCGATCCTCATTTCTGTGCTTGCGACAAGCCTCGCGGAGTTCGTCAGTCTCAGCTCAGTCTTCACGCTGTTGCCTGGTAGGATTTGCGCTTTCTCGTCATCTTTTGTGCTGTCGCTCTGTGTCCACAGACTTCAGAGTCGGTTCGTCTCGCTAGCTCTTCGTTGCCGAGGCTGGAGCTCCGGCAACTTAGTCGCATTGTGCACCATGACGGAAAGCCAGAGGTGCAGGCCTGTCTTAACATCCGGAGCCGCTGCAATACAGCAAACAGGGGCAAAGCTAGTCACATCACTGCGACATTGTTTCGTCAGGTAGTCATCACATCTTTGAGACCGACCAGTGCAAGGCCTGGCACCTGCGGCAGTAGCCTTGTCAATGAGGATGGATTCGGGTAGTGGAGATGAAAGTTTGCTGCCTCTGAGCAAGCCTTGAGGGCAGCCGCCACGGGACCGAGTAGCTGTTCTGGTAGGCAAGGCATCCTTCTTGGATTTCGGCAGGCCGCAGCTGTCTTTCGACATCAACTCAGTCAGTGTGTTCCTTGTCTGACAGATGTGCCCTGTACCCAGAATGGACCTAGTGCAGCGACCAGTGATGGAAAGTCGAGTTCTTCCCTTGAGCGTCCAAGGTGCCTCCCGCCTACTACTTGACAATGGAAGGCTCCAAGCCGCCGATGCAGTGGCCGTTCTTACAAAGTGGCGAGTACTTCCAGGCCGAGCTGCTTGTTCCCGAAAGTGCCTGGAAGAGGTTGAAGAGTGAAACAGGAATCTCGAAAGACATGATGTGAAGCATGTTAGGCTCAGACATGCCCTGCTTGGAATGTAAGCATCGTGCCCTGCTGGGAAGGTGACGTCCCCCCTTCGGCGCTGGATTGACCTGCTTGGGCAGCATTTGCCCCTCGACCTGCAACTGCTAGCCCCGTTCACGGCTTTGCTCAAACAGATGCTGGGCAGCCTCAGCTTCGAGATGGGCTAGATTGTCGACCTCTCCGAATGGGTTTAGGAAGCAAGGGAGCAAAGCGGGAGCAAACTTCTCCAGGACATGGCGATGGCTCTGCAGACTAGACCTGCATCACTTATCTCTCGTCACATCTTCAATCTCCTTCAAAGGCTAATGTTGGGTACTCTACTTTCTGACTCCTGACGGACTCCTGACCCTTTGACCCAATGATTCTGGGGTGAAGGCCATTGACTCTGAAAACTTGGTACAAGAGGCTTCTCGCCTCCTGCAAGCTGAACTTCGACGCGCTGCGCCGCAGCGCGGCTGTTGCGAACATGTGGTGTGCAGGGCCCGGAAAGTTGAGGAGGAAAGCCTAGGGTACTGGCGTTGCAGGGCTGGAATTCGGCATGGTATGGCACTGAACAGGTAGTCATTGGCACAGATCGGCTTTCGCATCCAGGTAATGTTCATCGATACAACGAGATGCATTCCTTTGTGAAACAGGTGTGTGGCATGCCTGCAAGGATGAATGTAGGGCTTTTAAAGAATTCAGAGGTGTGGACCAGGAGTTGTTCTTCCAATTGTATGTAGACTGAGGGAGAGCATGACCAGCATTGTGTCGCAAGGTGCTCGATACGCATTTCTGACATTTTGTACGGACCTGTTGAAGTGCGAGCGCAAGATGAACTGTATTGTGAGCCGGGTGGACCAGGGCTCTATCCAGCTGGCATGTCCGGTGACGTGCTTGAACTGGGCATTCTGCAGTCTTTTTTGTGTTTTTTATTGAAAACAGAACTAACACCAAAGCTGTCCCGCAGCATGAAACTCTAAGCATTTTGCACGTTAACCTAAGTGTCATGTGTTGAACATGGTTCCCGGCTCTCGCGTGCAACCGCTGTCGGTCCTGCCCGGTGCATCCTGCATCCTGGACCATCCTGGACCCTGTAAGCCGAGGAAATGGTCGGCTTCTTTCGGAGTATTCACATTCCGATGGGGCTCTTGGCCAGCCACGATCTTGCTGTGCGCCCCGTAGTCGAGGAGAAGAAGGTGGGGTGGGAATGGGGAATGTAGGACAGGGCCTTTTCGGTGCATGTTCTGTGAGGATGTGGAATTGGGCAGTCGTTCGTCTGTTCGTCTGTTCGTCTGATCGTCCGTGCGTCCCTTCGTCGGTCCATCCATCGGTTAATCTGTTCGTCCATTGGTCCTTTCGTGCGTTCATCGGTTCGTAAGCTCGGCCCGGTCGTCCGTCCATATTCGGGCTACAACGGGCGAGATATGTGGCAACGGTCACTTTGGGGCTAAGGGCCGGGGCTCCTCTTCAGAGAGGGTTGCTTGGGCGGCAGGTGCGCTGGCAAAGCCGAGAGGTGCGACATCGGCCCCCATCGTAGACAGTTCCTTCACACCTGATGAAGAGTCCTTCCGCTCGTGCGGTTGATGGTCTGAAACTGTGGTTTCACTGCACAGAATGACATTGAGACTCGCTGCATTTCGCTAGGCGGTCCTCCGCAACTTGCAGGACGGGCAGAGCTTGGAGCCTCCTGGCTGTCTAGCACCCGTAGCATCGACTGTGCTCTGCACCTCGACTTCCCCGTGCCAAGGCTGTGCCCGTTTAAGACCAAGATGGTGGTCCAGCTGGCTCTAGATGTTTCAAGCCCAGCTCCTTGACTCCCTGGAAGAGCAAAATGTAATGTGAGTCGCATTCCGGATGCGCCTCAGGTTGCACTTTATCGGCTTACGGCATCTGCAGTTTTCATAAATATGCCGAATGGCCACCTTCTGCGACATGCAATTCTGGCCCGGCAGCACCCGGCAGCCTGGACTCTTGAGCAAGGGCCAACTGGAAGTGGATGCAGCTGGGTTAAGGAGCGTCTTTTTGCCAAGGAAGTCTTCGGCCCCTTCCCCGATCTGCGTCAAGCGAGGAGGATGCACTCCGAGGGTTTCCTCTGGGGCTCCGTCTGGGAACAGGCCGGGCAAGCCGGGGTGTCAGAAGAGTCCAAGAAGTAGGCATGTAAGACAGGTCATGCGCTCAGCGACCCTTCGCCCCCGTCCCATTTACGCCGGGTCGAATCGAAGCCATGTTGCCATCGGAATGTTAGAAGGACCGGTCATTCATAGATCAATGTCGCTCAAACCGGGCATAACCCGGCACGATGCATGGAAGGTGCAGCTGTCGCGAATGTGTGCTGCCGCCTTGATGCCACGAGCCAGCAGCTCGGGACAAAGTAGCCTAGGCCTGCAACTCCCCTGGCCGCCAGTCCTGCATGCAGTTGTTTACCAGACGTTATCCGTGATCGTCACGGATGGGAGCTCAGGAGCATTGCCACCTTACTACATGACGACATCATGCCGGGGACTAGCAAGCCAATGGTGGAGAGGCACGTGTTGGGTTCCTGTCCTAGCCCCAAAGCATGGCATCAGCTGAAAACTCCGGGCCCTTTGCACGATAACACAGCGGTTGTTTGTCGCTCCTAGCCTCGGCCAGGCCGAAGAGATGACATCTGCGTTCAAGTGCAGGCAGAATCTTTCTGAACTCTTGTTCGGGGGTGGGTCCTTGGGCCTTTGAGATTCCGTGTCACCAGAAGAGTGGGCGCGGACATCGGACAAGATGCTCCCAGGTGCCGGCTTGCTACCGTGGCCTGCAGGGCTTGAATCGCCTGCAGGACCGGACCGGGCAAGAGAGATGGGAAGAGCGTCTTGGTCTCTCCTACTTAGGGTCATGGATGTCGGTGATCATGATCAGGAGGTGGTGAAAGCAGAGTGGTTGCATACTGAAGATGCTCACATTCATTCCCACAGCTTCCCCCCATAAATGATGCGGAATTGGCAGGAAGGACACCTGGCGATCATTTGGTGCAGTGGCCCGAACCAGGAGCCAGCTCAACAAGCCTGAGGGACCACAGCCTTAAGCTTTCTGAGCCCGCTTGCCACTTCGGCTTCATCGAAGAGGTCCATGCCATAAGTAACAGGCTCAACTCGAAGCCGCAGCATGAAGATTGTTTGGGTTTGGATGCAGAGCCACAGCAAAACACTCGGGAGCAGAGCAAGCAGCGAGGCAGGTATAGCGAGCACGCAGAGTTGACGGTCCAGAAGCTAGTCGCCCGGAAGCCGCTCGTGTTGTGCCAGGAGCTGTGGACAGGCTATGGTCGTGTAACGCACATCGAAAGCAACGAACGGATGAAACGGAAGACACAACTTTGCGCCCAGTCTGAGCTCGGAGTTTCAGGTTCGGGAGGTTCGGGTGCGTCCTTGTTTCTGCATACATTGCGATTTTCATGGAGGTATGCGGGCGCAGGAATGGGGACGTACTTTTCGAATGCTGTTGCCTTGAGCTGATTATTGCACAATGCAGTTCCGACATCCTCAGCACTGAAGTGGCGAAGTGTCGACCTGTCAGATCCGCCAACAGGAGCATGTCTCGGTATCCGCACCCCCTCCGTGACCCAGGACAGAACGCAAGCATCACAACGAACTCTCAACCAGACCTTGTTTATGTAATCCATGTAATCCCGACGCTCATCCAAGCGGCTACTGGTAAGCAGTCCTGTCTGGGGCTGGTTGGAAGGCTAGGACGGCCACTTTACATGGTTTGAAGATTCGCGAAAGAAGCTGCAAATGGAAAGTGCTTCTTCGCAACAGTGCAGCAATGCACCGATGTTTCAGTGAGCTCGTGTGATTGCAGGTGCTGTAGCAGGCGGTTAAGATGTTGCCCCAGTACTCCACTGTCCAAAATGGCACACGGGTTGGACCTCGGAGGCTTGTTGGTATCGGGTGTGAAGAGGAAGTTGGGCGCAAGTTGCAACTCGACACGAAGGATGAGGCTCCGCGTGAAGCTGGCCAGTAGGCAAGTTCTCCGCAAATCGGCTCTGTGTCATGCACGAAGGCAGCCGCGAAAAAAATCAGACTCCAGACGGGTCGGTGAAACAGTCTTTCAGACGATCCAGCCGATTCAATCACAGGTGCCAGCTGGTGAAGACCCGATTCAGCCTTTTCGAAGATCCCAGCGCATTCCGAAGAACGATGCCAGCGTTGTGGCCAACATTGGGGGTAGCTCCGCTCGTAAAACGCCATTTGCAGGCGAGAAGGATGGAAACAGCCCAAACTAGGTTCGTTGGTCCAAGGTGCACCGTTTTCCTTTCTCCCTTGGCGCGAGGCAAGCAGGCAAGAAGTGTCACGAGTTTCCTGGTTAACTCCATGCGCACCCCCTGAAACTTCCTTCCAACTCTAGGGGCTCCGCAGTCTGCAGCCTGTGCCTGGCTGCTGTTTGCATGTCAGCACGTCCGCTGAGGTTGGCGCTACGAGGCCAACGGCAGCTGCGGCCAGCCTGATTGTTGGTTTGCTCACGGTGCTGCTCTCAGCGACCAGAGCAAGTCGTGAGAGGCCGTAGCCGTCTTGTGTAGTGAACTACACCGCACGCAAGGTGAGGATGATGTGCGCGAGGACCCAACGCCTCCTTGACGGCCTCTGTCATGTAGAATAGCCGCTTCCATCTCGAGTGGCCATGATTCTGTTTGGAAGTTAAGTCTGAAAGGATGTGCTTCCTAGAAACAGGAACTCGTGAAAGCCACCATCACCCTCAGCAAGTGCTCGGCGGACTCCATTCCGGACTGGGCTGCCGAAACCGAAGTCCCGTTGGATGCTTTCTTTGCGGCTTCGTCCCCAGACTGCCGCCACGACAGCCCAAGCCAGCTACAATCAGTGGGATGCAGAGTGTGCAGAGGCTATTTACGCCCGCGACTTGCGGAGCCTTAGAGGCATCAATCACTCCGCCAACATCGCGAAGGATCATCAAAAGGCTGCTTTGCTTCAAGGCAGTGCTTGTTTCATGTGCAGCCGTTGCCATGATCATGAATCATGGTGTCTTGTTCTCTGTGTGCAAGGGAATTAGTGCTTTCTTTCTTGTGCAGATGCACATGACTGTCGCTGTTCAAGCAAGATGGCAGCAGAGGATGGCCGAAAATCTATCATAAATCGGCTGCTCTTCAAGGCTGGAGGTGGGACCAACGATTTGAGTCAGAATCGTCCTCTCGGCGACACTGCAGTCGTAGCATTGCTTAGGTGCACAGGGGCAGCAATGCACATAATAGCCGTTGAGTTTCTGATGAGAGCAAGCATCAGTAGTGATGACATGACAACACCAAGAGGTTCATGAACACAATGACAGCAAGTGCAGTTGAAGCACCCGTCAAAGGGACACGGATATTCGTAGTTGGGATGTTGCTAAAAAGCGTAGTGCAAACGGATAATCATCTTTCCCGCCGTTCATCAGTAAAGATATGGCTGCAGTATGCTGGCTGTAATACTAGTAGAATCACTCGAACCTACGGTAGCGAGTATTGGGTCAAAATCTGTAAATGACAATGTTGCGAAGATGGCTGTTCATGGCAGTACTACACGGGCATTCTCAGTGGCAGTAGTGGTGATGGGCTTGACAAAACTGGAAATGGCAGTACTACTGCAACACCAAAAAATGGTCGTGTCAGAATGTTGTAAGTACCCGAAGCCGTATGTTTGTCAGTAGCGCCGTCATAACTTGCTGTCCTCAGCTTACTTCTGAGTGTCCAAGCAACAGGCCTGATCGCCTTTCCGTCCGACGCATCATCGTCATCGTTACTGTTACCATCATGTCATTATCTCGTTATCTGCATAATTTCAGAAACATAGCCACCACCACCACCAACATCATCATCATCATCATCATCATCAAGCATCTCGGCCCGAGCCCCCCTTTTGAGTCTCCGATTTTCTGTATTATGCCACGCTCGAATGCCGCTGCTAGTGAGAGCCCTTATCATACTTCTGATGAATGTATGGAGCATTCTGAGTCGGTCACCCCTGCAGAGCGCCGAAAGCTGCCGACACACACAACAGAGCTCATGGAGTTTCGCAACTACGTCCTCCTCGAGCTTTGCTGGTTGCATTTCGAAAAGCATCTGGTTACAACGCATGGACAGGACAGGCGGCAGGCCTCTGCCAGACTCTCTGGGCACAAGAAGGCCTTCCACAATCAAGCTGCAGTCAGCTCTTTGGAGGCCCTCATCGACAAGCTGGATGAAGCCAGTGCCGACTGTTTGCAGATGGAGTTCCGGTTTCTTCAGAATACTATGGAAAGGCCGCTGCGAAGGAACGACATTGCCTGGATTTTGTCCACTGGAAGCCAGTGGGGGCCCTCCAAGCAGCTCACTCTGCAGTGCTTGTGTCGACTGGTTTTTCGAACTCTCAGCGCGAACATGGCCAGTCTTCACATGGCGCAGACTCTGGCTCGCATTATTCACGATCGAGCCCTGCCGCTGTGGTATCATCCGACCTTTGTGGCCCTGCTTCCACTGGTTCCAAAGAATGACGTGGGCCGCCTTCAGGACTGGTATGCCAACTATGTCTTTCAGTCCCGCTCACACCATGCCCTCCTGTATGGTCAGCAGCCAGCAGAGGCGGAGCCTAACCAGGATGTGCAACCACCATCAGACACTGGGGCCGGCTCCTCCACTGATGGACCTCGGCAAGACCAAGCGATGGTGGAGATTCCGTTTCCCGCCATCGAAGAGGCGACACACACGTCCTCGGCGCCATCGTCTTCGAGCAGGAACAATGCGGGGGCTGCACCCTGATGCTTCGCGCTACAGGCGGCTAGGTTCTCTTGGAGCATGGCAAGCTCTTCTGATTCCGGCTGTATATAGCGTGATGAGTGGCATTTTTGCTGATTTCGGAGCTTCAGAACTGAGTCATGCCTCGGGCTACCCCGGTCCCAATTCCGGGGTCGGTGATCCAGCATCCACTCTTTTCAACACCAAGGGAGTCACCGAAGATGTGAGGGTTGGGGGTTTTGCAGACTCCGCACCTTTTCAGTGTCGGAGCTCCAGCACATCGAACTTTCCAGTGCGCATTGCTTATGCTGCAGATTCACTGCATGACTGCGGAGGCCCCAGGCTCCCAACCCTCTGCCCCTCGAGCCACAGGACCCCCTTGTATGCAGGTATCCCGCATAGCTAAGCGCTCTTACCGGCGAGCACTGGCCAGACAACAGCGTGAAGGCCGTGCCTGGTACAGAGGCAGACTTCTCCCGGCAGCCCCGCAGAATTCCATACCACCCCAATCTAGAGCCCCTAGACCTAAACCTCCTGCTAAGCCTTCAGACATCACACAGTCCGCCTCACCCGCTTTTCAGCTGTTCAGCTGGAACTGCGGTGGCCTGCCTGAACTTCGCCTTGAAGCACTGCTACAGTGGATAGATCAGCAGACCACGGGCCCATGTGTAGTCTGCCTGCAAGAAACACATTGGAGCATAACCTCGGAATTTCAGAGAGGGCCTTGGTCTTGCATATCCAGTATAGCAACGGCGCCAGCCAGGCCGGGGTTTTGACCATGGTCCGCATGCCTGGCATCACAGTCAGATCTGTTCAGTATGCAGAAGTACAACCCGGTAGGCTGCTCCATACCAGATTAGGCACAGAACCACCCATCGATATCCTCAACTGCTATCAGCATGCCTGGAATGTCACCAAGCAAGCCTATCAACGCCAAGATCTAGAGCCGGTTGAATTGTTGCTTCAGGACCGTGCAGTCATCTGGCAGCAGCTCCAGACTTGGGGTGCATCCATCCCCCGACGCAGCCAGCTAGTAATTGCAGGAGACTTTAATACCCCCCTTAAATCCTTGCACCCCCATGTAGGACCTGGCATCACTACCCATAAATCCTCCCAGCATCGAGATTCAAGGGTGTTCCAGGGTATTCTTCAAAGCCTAGGCTTAGTTGCAGCCAACACCTGGCGTAGTCCGGGAGATGGATCAGCCACGTTTGTCAATCACCGCAACCAGCCGGTGCAGATTGATTTTGTACTGCTTAGACAGCCCTGCTGCATCCCGGACATGCACACCCAAGTGCTCAGAAATGCACCCATAGTTGCAGACTCAGGCATGCGTCACTTTCCAGTCACGCTGCGCATTCCTATGCCCCGACTGCCCCGTAAACCATCCCCTAACTCCAACCTCACCGCCGAGAAAGCCTTGTGTGCCCTCCGGGATCCGCAGGCCTGTCAGTCTTTCCGCACAGCAGTGGCGCGCAAGCTTGCAGATCCAGAGGTTAGAGCGGACGATGTCAATACGATTCTGATACAGGCCTTTCAGCCGTTCCAACAGAATCACAAGGGTATCCGCCCCACCAGCTCCGCTACCAATCTAGAAACGTACTGGCAGCATAAGCATGCGCTACGCTGCTCCAGCCAGGGCCTGCAAGCAAGAATGTTCAATGTCAGTTGGACATCGAACTTAGGAGCGGTGCAAGCGTTGCCTTCTGCACGCAGAAATATATCACAACTCTTGATCGCATGGCAAGCAGCTGTGAGATACCTCCGGGTTGCCCGTGCCTTGAACAAGCAACTCCGACATGCCAAAAGGCAGCAAGCAGAAGACATCATTGCCCAGGCCCATGCTGCTGACCGCAAAGGCCTTACTCACGTTTACAAAGTCATGCATCGTACAGCACCTAAAGACCCACGCAGATCCATACACCTCAAAACAACACATCAGGGCCTCCTGGATCCACAGCAATCCCTCCAAGTTATCAAGGATTATTTCAGCCAACTCTATCAAACACCACAGAGACAGCCTAATCGAACTTTCATCCTCACTGAGCCTCTGAACATCGAGAATGCTGAGATAGAAGAAGCCATTGCCTCGCTGTCACAGCGCAAGGCCCTGCCTAAAGGCCATGCCCCTGCGGTGCTGTGGAAGACCTGTAGCACAGACATCATCCCAGTGTTATCTCGAGACTTTCGGCAGCGGTTTCAGCCGGGGGTTATAGACCTGCCTGTCACCTGGAACAGAGCTTTTGTAACCCTTCTCCCAAAGCCCCAAAAGCCCCCAAATTGTCCTGCCAATCTAAGGCCAATTTGCCTCCTACCGGCGGTATCTAAACTACTAGCTAGGATCTGTGCCCAGCGCATGAGACCACTTCTCGAGACAGCAATGAGGCAACAGCCTCAATACGCATACCTGGAAGGGCGTCAGTCATTGGATGCTCTGGACAAGGTCTTCAGCCACTGCTACAGAGAGCGCCAAACCGTTTCAAATACCCGGCCTGCGCCGTTTGCAGCCTCTGCAGGACGTCGTCCCCCCCTGAAAGGGGGAGTCCAGCTTTCCTTGGACCTCAGCAAGGCCTTCGACAGGCTCCCCAGATCCCGATTAGAAGAGGCATTGCGTAGACTTCAGGTGCCAGACAACTTGACGCAACTCATTCTCTACATACATTATGAAATGTTGCTGGTCTTTCATAAAGATGAATATGAAGCAGAATTGCACACTAACTCCGGCATAAGGCAGGGATGCGGCTTGGCTCCTCTGCTATGGACTGCGTTCACTCTCCTTGCCATGGAACGCCTGGAAACCTTCCTCACTCCCGATCAGCTAACAGTTTTTGCAGATGACTACCATGTCTCCTGGGACATAGATTCGGAGCTGCACTTTAATAACTGTTGTGTTCAGATCGGAAGGATTCTTGACGATCTCACGGAGTTGGGGATGCAGATTTCTGTGGACAAAACGGTTGTCCTCATTCACCTAGGAGGCAGTGCTGCCAAAAAAGCCATGCAAAGCAGGATCATCCGAAGCAAAGTAGAGACTTTCTTGGAGGCCAAAACCAAGGCTGGCACAGTTCGCATCCCTGTTCGCAAAGAGCACAAGTATCTTGGAGCCATCATTACCTATGGTCGTTTTGAGCGGTCCACAGTAGCCTACAGACTCCAACAAGCCTGGCAAACCTTTCACCGTCTCAATAGGCTCCTTACCTCCAAGGCCCTGCCCACCTCCACACGAGTTCGGCTCTGGAGAGCCTGCGTTGGGTCTGTGCTCCTGTACAGCCTGCCCTCCGTTGGGCTCGATGCGCAGTCGGCACATAAGCTCCGAACACAAGTCACCAAGCAGCTCCGACGAGTTGCTAAGAGCCCAGCCCATGTCACGCATGAGTCCAACCAGCAGCTACAGCACAGACTTCAAACTCAAGACTTCCCCGAATATCTTGCCAGCCTCACCGCCAAACGAGTTGAAATAGCCCTAAGAACCCTGCATCATCTACAACCACCAGCAGTCAGACAATACCTGCAACAAATTGTCATCAGCCAGAAAATCCACAGTCAGCCCGGACCCTCACAACCTTCACAGCTAACAGAACTTACCCAAGTCCCCAGATTCCCTACAACCTGCCCACACTGCGGCATCACGTTTTCCAGCCTGCATGCAGTGCGCACGCATATCGGTAAGTCGCATCCTGCGGAAAGTCAGGCCAAAACCAAGACCACCTATGCCGAGCGCTCGCATCGTACTGTTATCTTCATGCAATATGCCAAGGATGGACAGCCTGAATGCAATTCTTGTGGCAAGCGCTTTGCCAGTTGGCGTTCCTTCATGGGACATTTTCATCAGAAGGCTTGTCCTGTGCTGCATGGACAAGCAGCACAAGTGTTGTCAGAACCTGCGACATCGGAACCTCCTGCTCAAGGGGTGTCCGCACCGGGGAGTGATTCCTTGCCGCAGCCTGACCCGTCTAATCTCACAGCGTGCCGTTGATGCAAAATCCAGAAGTGCGGACTGCTGCCTGCGCACACTCATATTCCACATTATCCAGACTCATTCGAAAGGAGATCCTTGCTGGTCACTGTCCGGAATGTAGGTACAAATGTGCTACTAACCGATATTTAGCAAGGCATGCCCAGCAGCAGCACTCCCATTTTCGTCAATCAGAATCAGCAGTGCGCAAGTGGGCTCAAAGTCGCGGTGGAGTTGGCAAGCCTTGCCGTTGGTGCCTGGAGCAGTACACGCAAAGCTCTCAGGCTCACCAGAAAGCATGCCCAGTGCTCTGGGCCTGTGGCCAAATAATAAACCATTTTTCGAGTCTTGACTCAGGTCAAACCTCCCTTCAGCAGCATGGCCGAGGACCCAGAGCTGGCACGAGCACGACTGGGGCTTGCTCAGTTCGAGGGGCACTTCGAGGCCCCGTCAGTGGCCACCACCAGGACCTCAACTCCGACAGCGGGACGGGAGGCCATGGAGCGGGAGGAAAAGGACCTTCAAAGGCAGGAGCAGGAGCTCCAGGAGCCGGCAGCGATGGACGAGAGCAGCCAGCCGAAACGGGGAGGCCAAGATCAGCCTCAGGAGCCTCCGGCGAAGTGGTCCAAGCCTGCGGGGAAGGGAGAAGGGCATGCCGACAAAGACAAGGACAAGCCCAAGGAGCTCGACAAGTCGGTGATACAGGAGGAGAACCAGGACAACCCTCGCCCCGCTCGAGTTCGATTCCCCAGCCAGCGGTCGGACCGGGACTGGTCTACTTTTTCCAGGCGCAACGACGATCAAAGATGGAACAACTGGGGTCGTCAGGGCCAAGGTCAGGGTCGAATGGAGGACAGGGAGGTTCGGGACCTCCTCAAGGAGCTATGCCGATTAGTCCTGCGGCAGGCAGATACGATTGCGTATCTGC